ATCACAGGTCAGCTGAGCATCGACCTTACGACTGCGTTCACACGTTTCAGTGCGTGAACGCTGCAAGCTTTAATACTCAGCACTCATTCTTGATCCTTCTGGTGCTGCTGAGCTGATTTTTGATCAAGTGACTGAAATAAGCCGCAGACGAGAAAAGACACTGTTTAGGTGACGTCATCACGCCACCATCACGACGTTCTGTGATGAACTGGCCGGTCAGACTCAAGCAGGTATCTGATCACACATGTGTGACACACACACTCCTCACTGCCTACCCGATAATCCCGTACGCTCCTCACAGATCTTACAGCTCGCTGGGTCCATGTTCGGCTCCTGTGGTAGCGCCCTTATGTCGATACCCAACCCCACAAAGGTGCAGCGGGCGCCTCACGATGAGGCTCAGGCTGCTGCGATGCAGAGGACGAGCAGCCTGACAGAGCTTAGGGGAAAGGAGCCTTCAAGCATCACACACACAAAATGAATGCCACCTCGCTGTACCGACAGAGGGCGGCCAGAGGGGTCAGCGGCGAGCGACCTGCACAGCAGTGCGCAGCCGCGACGCCTTATCGACTCACTGATCTGTTTATTTGGACCAAAGAAGCTGTGACGAAGCTTCGAAATCAGAGATTTGACTCGTTTACAGCCAAAAACAAAAACCTCAGAGCTGCGGGTAAATTCTGCCATGTGTGGAAGTCGCTCATTTACGTCACTCAGAGTTTTCTGTTCGTCCCGATCGGCTCGTGAGCACGCTCTGAGGAGGACGCCCACCGGGCCGCAGCGAGGCTGCTGGGTTAGCATCAGAAACTGAAAGCAGACGGTTGTTCTCTGCCCCGAGACGCTCAAAGAGGAATGAAGCCCAAAGAAGAGGAAGAGAGACGGAGAGAGAGGAGCTCGGGTTAAGCAACAGACAGCACGAGTTGTGAAAGAGAGAAATGGCGAGCAGGGCGGAGGTGGGAGGGTGGTGCGAGGCGGAAAGACCACAGAGAGCCACAGAGGACAGGAAGCAGGTGGCGGCGTGCTCACAGCTTTGTAGGTCTTCTTCTGGCCGGCGTGCTTCGGTGCTTTGCCGGGATCGCCGCTGATCTCCACGTGCATGGCGTAGATGATGTCAAAGAAGTCCTCCACCACCGCCACGCGCTTCAGGAACGAGTCGACCGCTGAAACGCCGTCCGCACACTGCAGGGAGACAGAGACAAACTCTCAGTTCATTCACACTTTTTGACCTTTGACCTAAAGCTTCACAGACGAGAGGAGACGAGGACGGAGGCAGACGCCTGCATCACGCCGCCATCAGCTCTGTGAGCGTTCACTAAACACCTGGTAAACATTCAAAAGGACAATAAAAAGAAATCAATAGGTTATCAATATGTTATCAATACGTTATAAATACATTATCAATATGTTAACACGACATGAACTCTGCTGAACGAAATGTTACAGATACCAAAGAAATCCATCACCATAAGAACAAACGTGACTCCTGAAGGGTCAGCTCTGAACTTCAGGAATAAAAACAAAAGACTGTTGAAGAAATCAAGCAGTCAATCAATCAATCGATCAATAACCAGCTTTACAGACATGAAGGCAGGAGGTCTGCCAACCATTGAAATGATGAGAAAAATCCCTGAATTTATAACCAGTCCAAACATTGGAAAACTGTCCCAACGATGGGAGGGAACTTCCTGTTCGCCGACCTGCAGGTTCAGTGTTTAAACATCTCACTTCCTGTGCTGGTTCATCGAGTGTAATTATTCCTGCGCTCTAATTACTGAGCCGCTGTGAACTCACAAAGATTTATTAACAAAGCCTCCCAACAGATACAGACTCCTCCCCCTCTCCTCCGCCTCACACCGAGGGCTGGGAATAACAGGGAGCCACGCGGAGCTCTCGATTTCCCACAAGGCCGTGGGAGTGTGAGGTGTGTGCCAGCAAAACAAAGAGGTGCTCTGAAGGGAGGTAAAGAGAGAAAGAGGTACACAACACAGAATAAATAATAATAATAATAATAATGGATTGGATTTATATAGCACTTTTCTAGGCACCCAAAGCGCTTTACAATAGCGCATTCACTCTCACATTCACTCTCACATTCACACACTGGTGGAGGCAGCTACAGGTGTAGCCACAGCTGCCCTGGGGCAGACTGACAGAGCCCAGGCTGCCATATCGCGCCATCGGCCCCTCTGGCCAACACCAGTAGGCGGTAGGTGAAGAGTCTTGCCCAAGGACACAACGACCAGGACAGAGAGCCCGGGGTTCAAACCGGCGACCTTCCAGTTACAGATAAGCTTCCCAACCCCCTGAGCCACTGTGAACAATCCTTTTTTCCCACAGCACACAAACTCAGCACAGCGAGGACGCGTGAGCCGGGCTGGAGGTAAAGCCGGGTCACTGACAGCACGGCTGGATTTGTTTGTTCTGAACAATCTTCTAAAACACGGCGGTAAAAGCCACCGCTTCCTTTCAGAAATTTCACAGTAAAATAAAGATGACACAGAGCACAGCATAAGAGACTGAAACACTGCCCGGAAGACTTTCAAAATTAAAGCTGTGAATTTACCAGAACAAAATGGGAAATTACTGACAAATGTGGGAGGATTTAATTTACCTCTAAACTAAATTCTCTGAATCGTCGCAGCTTCCTGCTCCTCTCCCACTCTAACGAGACCGCGATCTCTAAACTGATCCTACATCTGGGACGGTTTGACCCCAGTGACCATGTGCTGCCATGTTTGCAAGTGATCCTGTATCATCAGGAAGAACAGGGGAAACCTTCCATACGTTACAGTGGCTGCAATTCAGCCGGCACAGCAGCAGGTGGCGCCCCCTATGGGAGGACCACAGGGGCGCGCTGAGGCTGTTTTCCCGCCTTTAAGCAGACTTCTTTTGACTGGCTGCCACACAAACAGCTCGTAGCGCCTCCTGCAGGCCCCCGGCTGAAATGCAATGACATTAACAGGAAGTGAAACGGCTGCAGTGGATACAGATACAGAGGCATTATTCTGAACTGTGGATCATGCTAAGCTGCTCTGGCAAACAGCATGGAGGTGGCCATGATCAGAACAGCTGCTTTAGTACATTTGTGAGAAGGTCCCAGTCTTTCTGGACCGTCACGCCTACCCAACAGGAAGGCGTGACGTGAAGTCTCCAACTTCCAGGAAGTCCAGCTGGAAGTTGGAGTGATTAGAAGTTCTCTGAGCTTCCTAAATGAGCTCGGAGGTGATAATCCTCTGTGGGTTATTTCACTTAACGAGCTTTTGTGTGTGTGGGCGAACACATCGATCAGCGGAGCCTCGCTGTTAACACGCCGCACAGAAACAGGAAGTGGAGACCGTGAGCAGCCTGAAACATCGAGGCCTGCTGCAGGCACATTTCACCTCAGCGTCATGTGACCAAACCTGTTATGATGTATGTGAAACATCCAGCGTGGCGGTGACAGGTGTGTGTGTGTCGGAGGGTGGGGCCATTATTGTAAAGCAGCAATGTGAAGAGTCAATGAGCAAAACCCTGTTGTCCCTCTCTCTCCTCACACACACACACACACACACACACACACACACACACACACACACACACACACACACACACACACACACACACACACAATTAGGACACCATATCTTGACCCATTACCTCCCCCCTTTCCTTCTAGGGGTGCAGGTAATAAGTGTTGCTATGGTAACCAGCTGCAGCTTATCACAGAGGAGACATTTCTAATGTGTGCACCCCCCCCACCTACCCCCAGTGCCATTACAACTGCTTGGCAAAGAGGAAGAGGAGGAGGATTGGCTGGAAGAGAGGAGAACAGGAGAAAGTGGGACAGAGGCGAGGAGACAAAAGAAAAGAGGAAGGTGGAGGAAGTGATGGTGATGGTTGGAGCTGAGAATAATCTGTAATTACAGGAGGCTGATTGAAAGATGGAAGCCATGTTTAATATGAATGTTCATTCACTCATTCCGCTCATCAGCCAGTCCCATAGACTCCAATGAGTACAGTACAGGTGTGTGTGTGTGTGTGTGTGTGTGTGTGTGTGTGTGTGTGTGTGTGTGTCCTGGAACGCTGGCTAGGCCCTCATGTGCCGGGCAGATGAAGGGTGCTGGTCTGGCACTCTGTAAATACACATCAGAAGACGAGAGCACGATCACGTTTAAGGTTTGACGTCACAGTGTGTAAAAACACACACACACACACCCTCTGCAGCTATACCACACACACACACACACACACACACACACACACACACACACACACACACACCACACACACACACACACACACCCTCTGCAGCTATATTGGGCTGTGTCCCCTCTGCAGGGTCTTCTCATTAAAACATTTCTGTTTCTTTGACCCACTTTTAGGCCTCTGCATGAACACTTTCCCCACCAGTTTATTTTCAGGTGTGAACTCACCTGCACAGTGTCCCCGTGAAACACACGTTTCATATTTGATGTTTGTGGCGTGGAGGCGCACGCAGCGGGCTCTGAAGCGTCCATATTAATGAGGCCCATGTTTACACACTCGTTCATTACCGCCAACACTCAGTGTGTTCTGAATGTGTGAGTGACACCAGTGCAACGCACACACTCACAGTTATCTGCGCCGTCCAGCTGTTTATGCTCAGAAGAGGCTGAGAGTCCACTCTTTTCACAAAGCTGCAAATAAAAGTTATAGAAATGTGTAAACCGAGTCTTTGTCTTTGTCTCGTGGGGCCGAGTCTTTGTCTCTGCGAGCCAGAGTTGTTGTCTCTGCGAGCAGAGTCTTTGTCTCTGCGAGCAGAGTCTTTGTCTCTGCGAGCAGAGTCTTTGTCTCTGCGAGCAGAGTCTTTGTCTCTGCGAGCAGAGTCTTTGTCTCTGCGAGCAGAGTCTTTGTCTCTGCGAGCAGAGTCTTTGTCTCTGCGAGCAGAGTCTTTGTCTCTGCGAGCAGAGTCTTTGTCTCTGCGAGCAGAGTCTTTGTCTCTGCGAGCAGAGTCTTTGTCTCTGCGAGCAGAGTCTTTGTCTCTGCGAGCAGAGTCTTTGTCTCTGCGAGCAGAGTCTTTGTCTCTGCGAGCAGAGTCTTTGTCTCTGCGAGCAGAGTCTTTGTCTCTGCGAGCAGAGTCTTTGTCTCTGCGAGCAGAGTCTTTGTCTCTGCGAGCAGAGTCTTTGTCTCTGCGAGCAGAGTCTTTGTCTCTGCGAGCAGAGTCTTTGTCTCTGCGAGCAGAGTCTTTGTCTCTGCGAGCAGAGTCTTTGTCTCTGCGAGCAGAGTCTTTGTCTCTGCGAGCAGAGTCTTTGTCTCTGTGAGCAGAGTCTTTGTCTCTTGGACCGAGTCTTTGTCTCTGCGAGCAGAGTCTTTGTCTCTGCGAGCAGAGTCTTTGTCTCTGGAGCAGAGTCTTTGTCTCTGAGCGAGTCTTTGTCTCTTATGGACCGAGTCTTTGTCTCTTATGGACCGAGTCTTTGTCTCTGCGGACCGAGTCTTTGGTGGTCCTGTGTAGAATTATTACACAACTGCTCCACCTCTTGCTCTTCTCTTCGTTTCCACGGCGCTGCCTCATCCCTCCATCCGAGCCTCCATCTCTCTGCTCTGACCTGCTGCACCTTCACCTCCACCCTCTTATTATCAGCAGCCTCGCTCTCTTGTTTCCCCTCTTTCTGTGCCTCAGCTCAGCTTGCCATCCCATTTCCAAACCAGCCTGTTGCTAGGATACACACAGTGTCCATTCAATGAAAACTGAATGCCCCCCTCCACACCATCACCACCACCCCTGCTCTTCAGCCTCCACCTCTGCCCGTCTTCATCAGCACACACAAACACAGCCCTCAGGTTCCACGATGCAAAGCAGGAAGAAAAGATCCGCCTCCAACAAGCGAATCAGGAAGTGGAGCGGTGTTAATATTTAATAGACGCATCACATCAGGGACATTTTAAGCAACAACACATGAGAAACAGCGTGAATGAAAGGAAACCGTCTGTCGCTCTGCAGTCCACGGAGACGTGGCGGTGCACCAGGCGAAGCGTCCACAGGACATTTAAAGGTTTCTGCCTCGAGGCGCTTCAGTATGAACCAGAACACCTGATACTCACGTGATCAACACGTGAAGCTCCTACCTATTTAAAACCCCTCCCATCAGCTGCCACTGCCCAATCCTGACCCAGCAGCGCCTCACCCTGCCGTCTCTCCAAACCACAACCTAGCGGAGTCC